AAGTAATTTAAAAAAAAAAATCTTCCCCCCTGCCATGAATGAAATGCTGCCATCTGCAGATCTTCAGTCAACAGGAGATACTAAAAATAGGCAGCGGGATTTATTTAACAGCCAGATTGTGATAAGATGAGTGAGGTAATACCTTTTATTGAAAGAGTTGCTGTCGGTGAGTAAGACAAGATTTTAAGCTCAAACAAAAGCCTGTCCAATAAAAGATATTACCTCATCTGCCTAACATCTCTAATATTCTGGGACCAACATTGCTGCATCATCACATAGGACTATTATGCCTTTCTTTCAAATATTCTTTGAAGTGCAAATTACTTCAACCAGGTTTCAGAAGTTTCAGTCACATTATTTTTACCTGGATGTCCTGTGATATTTCAGCTGTGGGAGGCGGTGGAGATTCTTCACACACAGCAAGGCTCCGAACTAGCTTTAACTTTGTATTGGACTAAAGAAAAGTATTTTTAATTAACAACTACATAGTTAAAAAACAACAACAACAATTGTACATCAGACACCTCACGCTGTAATCCCCTCATTTTTGAAAGGGAAAAAACAAATAGTCAAACAGTCACAGCTTTGACCATCATACATCACCACAGCAGAATAATTCCAATTAATAAAAATATATATAAGCATTGGAAAGGCATTTCCTCTTTCTCGCAATAAGCCACCAAAAATATAAAGGCAAACCACAAAAAGCAGACAACTAGGCAAGACAAAAATCCAAAAGCAAAACAAAAACTATTGCCAAAAATAAAGGCTATAACTAAACTCAAGGCATTTTTCACAAAACAACAAGGTTTCATCAAGCATGAAGGACTTCTGCAGCATGCCAGCACACAAGTCTACTGTACCTTTGACCTTTTTCCTGTTTGTCCAAAAGACTGCACTGGCCGCTAAATGGTGGGCACGACAAAAAAAGTTCATATTAAGCTTTATACTTAGACTCTAGAAGACATTTATTAATGCAAAAATATGCAGAGGAGAAAGAAAAGTTATTTCGTAGATTTGATCATCACGTAAGTAAAGGCATATGTTTTTAGCCTAAGGGTTGAGAGTTATCCTATTTTCCATGGAAAAAATCTCAGGCTCCACATCTTCATTCAGCATCTTGCAAAACATAGACATGCAGAAAAGACTGTGTTACCAGTTTTATACAATGGTTTTAATCTAAAGTCAAGACCAGTTAATACTCCCTGGCAAGTCCTATGTTTGTAGTTCTCATGGGGCAATTCCTTTAGCAACCACTCTTTGGGCTTGTCTACTAGTAATTTTGAAATCTATTTATCTATACTGACTTAGAAATGGATGTAGCTAAATTGCTGCAATTCCCAGAATGGATGTAGACAGACAGGTATCAAGATATTTATCTTGGTGTAGCTTATTACTGTCACTAAACGGGCATAGTTAAATTGGAATAAAAACTGTGTGTAGGCTACCTCCGAAACCGCTTATGTGGAAGATAAATTAGTATACAAGGAGTATTAGGAGTAACTACATTTTTTAAAAAGGATAATAATACAGAACCACTGATACTGAAGAATATTCAGATTTATTTTATCTCCACCCTGTTGTTATGCCATCAAAAGAATACCTAGGTGGGGCATCTCATTAGAATGAGTATACAAATGAAGGAAACCTCATTTCAAAGATCTAAAAGACAGGTATGAGGGTCAAGAGGATGATTTAAGTTAATAGATTTGCTGCTATAATGGCTCTAATCTAATCATATGTACTCGGTGTGGCCAGACAGACTATAACCCCATATCATCCATCTTATTTGCCTCTCTGAAGCACAGGGCAGAGAAGGAGCAATAATATCAGCATAGTCTATGCTGGCTCATCTGATCCTGAGAAGTTGAAACACAGATATGTGGATAGAGAGCAGTTAAGTCAATAAGCTGGCCTCCAGGCTGCGGCTGGCACCTATGTTGATTCGAACACACAGTCCCAGGAAGAGGAATTTCCCACTGAGAAAACAATGTCCAGTACTTCAAAATTTAATCATCTCAATTCTCTCTTACAAGTGTAAATTAAGTTCACAACTCCCTTGTAAGAACTGGTCTCACAGCAGACAGACCAGCATCAATTGGCAATTAAGATAAGAAAGAGAAATACGTGACCCCATGATTATAAAAGATGGGCCCAGCACACACTCACTTTGAGTGTCATTCTACCCTCTACCTGCTGGTCGGGTTAGGTGTTTGACCTCCCGAGGTTCTATGGGGACGCCCACCTCGTATTTTCGTCTTTCCTAGGAATTGAGGGACCGGCCCTGGCCTGACATGCTGGAGTCGAGAGGCACAGAAGGGGGTAAAAATGGTACCTGGATGTGGTCCTCTGTCTTAAGTGTACACATAGAAAGAGTAAGCTGTTACTTGGTACCATTATTTCTATTTTTCTATCTTTATCTTCTTTGTAACCATTTTTAAGACCTATATTTTGCTAATAGTTAAGAAATAGAGCAATAGCCATTGTAACCATATGATTTATAAGCTTCTTTAATAAACCTGTAACTGTTTAAGCTTTAACCTGCCTCCTTCAGTTGCTGTAACAGAACCAAGCACAATTTAAAAGAACTTCAGCCGGTCTAAAGGGACAGTTATAGGAAGAGCTTGGGCGTTTGGATCTGTGTCACTCCCAGGTGACAGGACCCACTGGGGCATCTTTCAGTCTTTCCTCAAGGCTGCCCGCTGCGGAGGAATTATGAAATTCTAGCAGCTGAAATCTAAGATGTAATAAGCTCTTCCTATATAACGGGGCGTCTGTTGGCCTGCTGGCCACCCTCTGCGATGGGACCCCGGTCCTAGCAGTAAAGGCACGGACGTTAAACCTTTTCTCGGAAACATACACACACACACTGCCCTGACCGTCGGCTGACACTCGGGCATTCAGCAACATTAACGTCTGCTGTTCAATTTAAAAAAAAAATAATTTTGCAGATAACTTTGTGTTAAAAGAAACCAATACATTCCCATCCTGATCTTTAAAAAGCTTTCACCTCTGAAGTAAATTACATCATAAGAAATGAGGAAGCGTGAAAGGCTTATAGTATTTCAAGTCTTGCAGTCTCCCCATTCTCCCAAAATCAAGCCTTTGTATTAAATCTTCTGAAGGGCTAGTACCTTAGTACAGCTTTTGAAAGAGTCATGATGAACATGGAAAAATACTCAACTGTATATAGCGGGGACCCCCTGTAAATCTCCCTAGTATATGTTGGTTCTGCACAAGCATTGTTGAAGTTTGCAGGAACTATTCCGTTTTAAGTCCTCTCGCTCTTCTGTTGTGCACACGCACACGCACAGAGAGGACCAATTCATACAAATGGAAGTCAGCTGCAGGAAAAAAATTCCCCGCTTTACAACCTTTTGCTATATGTCCATTTTTAAAAATTGTATCTTAGATGGATAGCGGGGACACCCTGTACTCAATTCCTGTATTATGGAGAATCTCTTCTGATTCATTAGAGAATGAATCATGTACCAGGTAGAACTAACAATTTCAAACTTTAGAGCCTAGAAGCTGATGCATGATGGGGCATATGTCAGTAGAGCTTACCCACCTAGGGTAACAGGTGAACTGGCGGTTAGAAGAAGCTACCTCCCTTCCTATCCCATCCCCTGATGGAGCCCAAGTCCTGTCCTGTCCCCAGTCCTGAAGCGCAAGGCAGGCACTGCTATTGCTCTGCCCCTGTCCCCAGCCCTGGAGCACAAGGTGAGCAATGCCACCACAACATTCCCAACTGGAGCACCAGGCAGGCACCAGCCCTAGCCTCTCAGAATCCAGCAACAGGCCTTCCTACCCTAGCCAGGACCATGGAAGAGCAGAAATTCATTGGCACTCCTGGAGGCAGAGCATGGGCAAGGCCATGCCAAGCTGTTTGGGGAGGCTCAAATTAATATGTAAATAGCTTGCAAACTGGCTTCAACAGTGTCATGCAAACACCTGTTTTCATTTTGAGGTGACATTTGTAACTAAGAAGTGGGCAGCATTTTCTCCAAAAATGTAAATAAGCTTGTTTATCTTAGCAATTGGCTGAAGGAGGAGTTAGTGGACTTACATGAGATTCTTTGAAAAATAGTATTTCCTTTGTCTTTACTACAATGCAAACATTTGCAATCAAAAAGTTATGTGTTGTGCACTTTGTATTTTGTTTTGTAATTGAAATCAATATATTCGAAAATGTAGAAAAATCTATATTTATAATTGTAATGGATAGGAGGAGAGCTGGCCAGCATTTGGTGACTAAAGGGTTAAACTCAGGTAGTTAGGGGGTGTTGGCAGGGAGCCAGGAGAGCCCAGGGGAGAAGGTGCTGAAATTTGAACTGAAAATATGCCTGCCTGCTGTTTTCTTTGTGGGAGTTTTAAACTAAGAGCTGGGGAAACAAGATAAATTGAACCAGGCAGAACTACTATGCCTACAAGGAATACTAAGTATGGAAATGGACTAGACTTTCAAGCATAAATTGTAACTAGACAGGAAATGTCTATTTAGTCATGATTAGGTTATTTTCTTTGTTTTATTGTTTGGTTAAACTTCTCAGTACTAAGGCCAATGCCCCACCACCCAACATTGTATCTAAACTGTAGCCCAGAGATACTATTTTCTCTCTGTTTTAATCTGTTCTCTCTCAGTTGCTCTGTAACAACTAGCAACCAAGTATGCTTTATCAAGATGTTTTATCAAGTATCCTTTTGTTTTCTTAATAAAATCACCTTTTTGAAGGCGATGATTTGATTCTCTTGTCCTGGAAGGTAACAGGAGATCTGTGTATGCATGCCTAAGATTGAGAGGTCAGCTATCAGAGACCGCAACTTGTTTTCTCTCTTGTGGTAAAATAGCTTGGAGGTACTCCTCTGGAAGAAGTCCAAGTGCTTTCTTCCTGGGTTCAAGAAAGGGGTTTTTGATTCACTTGGTGGTGGCAGCTACTTCTCAAGGCCAGGGAATCTGTGACTTTGGGGAGCTTTCTAAGTAGAGTTGATAGAGGCAAAGTATATAAGATCTCTTGCAGGCCCACACCTTCTGCACTTGGAGTGCCAGAATGGGGAACAGCCTTGACAATAAATAATGGAATATCAACTTAAATAGAGCAATTAAGACTGCTACTAATTGTGACTTTTTAAAAGTCTAGTTAATTTGTTTTGTGTTAATTGCATGAATTAACTATGCTTGACATCCCCAAATGTACCATATTTGGGCCAAGAACAGTGTCTTAATTTGTTTAGTGTATTTTGTAAACCACCTGGTAAATTGATGGCTCTGAGAAACATGCAGGACATAGCATATGGCTTCGCAACGGTGGTGTTCCTCAACTATAGTGGGCAATAGATGCAATGCACATCCATATCTTTACACCTGACCACTTTGCCAAAGAGTACACAAATCATAAGGGGTACTTCTCGAAGGTGATGAAGGCACTGGTTGATCACAAGGGCTGCATCACCAACATCAACATGGGATGATTGGGAAAGTTGATGCACATCTTTACGCTTGTATCTCCTGCCTCTTCAGAAAGCTGCAAGCTGGAACTTATTTCTCAGACTGGAAAATTAACATCAGAGGCATTGAAATGCCAATACAGATCCTTGGAGACCCAGCCTTCTCTTTGCTCCCGTGACTCATGAAGCTGTACACAGGCAACCAGGACTGCAGTAAGGAGCAGTTCAACTACAGGATGAGCAAATGCAGAATAGCAGCAGAATGTGCTTTTTGAAGTTTAAAGGGAAGATTTTGCAGTGTATTGACTAGGTTCAGATCTCAGCAAAAGAAATATTCCCATGGTTGTGACAGCCTGCTGTGAGCTCAATAATATCTGTGAAAGTAAGGAGTAAAGTTTTATGCCAGGGTTGGGGGCTGAGGCAAAGCACCTAGCCAGTATTACGAGCAGCCAGACAC